ATAGGATGTGAGCTATGGTTCCTGAGTGAGGAGCTCTTGGATGCTTTTCTCTGATTCACCGAGTGGCCTCACACCTTGTCCGCCAGGTGTAGCCCAGCGGCAGAGAAGGCCATGCCACAGCCCAGCCTGGCTGCCTGTGGGTAGGGGCTTCTCCTTGGGCTTGAAGTCCTATTAAAAAAGGATTTAAACTTCAATCTCTTTCTGAGCAAGAGCCTTAAAGAACAGATCGTTTTCTAACGAGGGATTATCAGCACTGGTATTCACAGCAGTTCCTCAGAATAGGGTCCCAGCTTTGGAGTCCCAGGTTCACAGCAGGATCTCCGTGCGCTCGCTGGAGAGGGTAGGCTGTCACGCGTCCGTCTGGCCTGAGCACTTGCTTTGCAGCTTGCTCTAGACAGTTGTGCACAGAGCCATCTCACTGGTCTCGTCTCTGTGGGTGTTACCTAATTATCTCCGGCTATGAGACTCTTGCCACTGGATGCACTTCTGCCTGTGGGAACCAGGAGGCTATTAGTTTTTTTCCACAGTGTTTAATTCTCAGTTGTCTGTACCTTAGGTTAGCAAAGTTGGAGAGCCTTGCCTGTTGCTGCACGGCCGTTCAGAGCCAGAAGTAGTGTCGTGGTGGTGGGGGCTAACCCCGGGGGGCAGCTCAGCCCCACACCATCACTTGCTCCCCCGCAGCAGGATAGGAGGGAGAATCAGAAGGGTAAAGGGGTGAAAACTCGTGGGTTGAGATAAAAGACAGTTTAATGGGTAAAGCAAAAGCTGTGTGCGCCAGCAAAGCAAAGCAAGGAATTCATTCACGCCTTCCCATGGGCAGCAGGGAAAGCAGAGCTCCATCATGCCTAACGCTTACTTGGGAAGACAAACGCCATCGCTCCCAACGTCCCCCCCTTCCTGGCTGGAACGTCCCTTTGGTGACTTGGGGTCAGCTGTCCCGGCCGTGTCCCCTCCCAGCCGCTTGTGCACCCACGCCTCCTCGCTGGAAAGGCTTTGGCTCTGTGTAAGCCCTGCTCAGCAGTAACGAAAACATCCCTGGGTTATCAACACTCCAGCACAAATCCAAACCATAGCCCCGTATCGGCTACTGTGAAGAAATTTAATTCTGTCCCAGTCAAAACCACTACAAGATGTTTTAAAAACTCAGTGAATGATCACAGAAAACACGTTCCATGCATTTTAAGCATTTGTCAAAGTTGCATGTGCTGAAAAAAATGTTCATAATCGTTTTCTTACCTGTACTTTTATATTCCAGCTAATAAGTTGTTCCAGAAAAGTGATGAGATGGTACACATAGGCTGATTGCCTAAAGGATGCTTTTATTTTTAATTGTGACTCAGTTGTGTTTCCATCTGGCAGAAAACCACTTAGGAAAATGTACAAATTTTCAAGCATGTCATGAGCTATAATAGGCATTTTAAATTTCTGAAATCTGTATGCTTTGAGTTAAGACTTCGTTGCTTATATTGAAGTTGTCTCCATTGCAGTTTTGCCTCAGTGTCCTATTTCTGAGCCAACTCTTGGTTTTCAGCCTGTTGTTTAGTGCTCTTCTCATTAAGATATACTACAGCAGCATTTACAATGTCTTCATCTGACTCTTCTGAAACAGGTCGTGTACCTTCAATATTGCTCTTCATTGGTGACATTTGAAATTCAGATACCGTTTGTTTACCTACCGGTACTGGGCATTTCTAATAAATTCTGCCTTATTTGGAGGAAGATTATCTTTGCAGTCTCGGGCTATGGTGGCTTTATATCTTGCATCAAGTGGAATAATAAGCTACAATTTTAATGCAAAATCTAAGAATGTGATTTTAGAAGTTAAGGTGTCAGTACTTTTGAAGATTGCATTGGTTTTCTTTCCACCAAGTAGAAGAATTGCAAGATTCGGGGAGGAAATCCTGCTGATCATTCACCTTGAGAGACATAAGGGAAGAATAATATATATGCACTGTGTTGGAGAGAAAGGATGGGGTTTGTCGTAGCATTATGTTCTACCGTGCGATAATGTTACAAGACTGAAATAAGATATTTTAGAATATTCATGTATACATGATTATTGTAATGCATGGGATTTTGTTTTGCATTACCACAAAATTTCAGCTTTCCAGCAATGTGAAACGTTGTCACCTATCGTTCAAAATAACTGCTAGGCTATTTAGCATACAAGGATAAACTTGGTTCCTTTCTACCTGTTGGCAGGGAACTTTTCTGACCAGTGAGTGATATATGAGTTAACCTAAGTGCGCAGTAAGATAAAGATGCTTTTCCCATGGCAAACTATTCAGGTCTTGTTTGTCTTTCACCCTGATGATATATTTAAAAAAACCCAACCGAACCACCACCAAAAAAACCCCCAAACCAGTTAAGAAGTTTGCTCTAGTGTTACAGTTTCATAACACAAAAAAATCTAAATAAATTAGCTTTTAAAGCTAATTATGAAGCAGCTTCTTGTGTTCCTATTAATATTGTTACTTTGTTTATTTGCTAAACTCTTTAAAGCAAGGAAGCGTAACTGAAATATGTCAAAGTGTCTCCATTAGTAATGCTCTGCTGGTTAGCCTAGAGCGGGTTTTGGCCAAGCAGTATAACTCAATCAATACTTTTCTTGCCTGGGAGAGACGAGGGAGCCTCTATGGCAAGCCAGCCTCCGCGTGCGCCTCCGAGGTTGTTCCCACATCTAGTCCAATTCTGCGCTTCTGATGCTGGATAGGACAAGAACTTTGACTGCTGTCGGCTCCCAGTCATTGCCTGTGTATTTAGGGTTCATATTGTGCTTGTGAATTGACAAAAAGAAAATCATCTGAAAAGATCAGATCAGATATGTCTGTACCTGTAACTTCAAGGAGGAGGCATGTCCTTACCTGAAGATGTCTACCAGACCTCCTAAAACCAAAAGATTCTTTCAAATTTCAGCTTACCTTTCTCTGAACAGCAAACAGAAGAATTTAGTCCCCTGAATAATTTGATTATAATCTTTTCAGTGGATCTTCACTGTCACTTTTGCAGAAGGTCAGCTTTGTGAGTAGAAGCCTAGGGGTCTTTCTCCTGGGTGTCCATGGAGTTTTTGCTGTGGCCGTACCTGCGCATTGCTTGCGAAAAGCACTGCAAATTATCCTTGGCATGTTAAAGAAAAAATGAGGCTGATACGGGTTTACCTTCATAATGTGACTCCCAAAATAGAGCATTTCATCTGTCACCTTGCTGCAACTGCCTGGTTCA